ATAAGATTTAAAGATTGTCTTTTTTCTTTTCTTTTTTAATTTTATATATGATTATGATGATGATGTGAATCATATGTAGTGTTTTGAGTTTTATGTTCTACTGTGAGATATGGATTTGGTTATGATCAATTTCAATGCACAATAATGATAGCTTGTTATAACTCTTGGTTTATATTTTGTTTAAGAGTTGTGGTAGGTGCGGTTTCAATTGTGATTACTGTGTGCTTCTTGTTGATGATTTGTTTTCTGTGTGTTTATATTTATGCTGAGTTGTTTTTGCTGTTGGCGACTGTGTTTTGATGGGATGGAAGTACTTGATTTTGGTTTAGCTCTTGGGGTGTTGAAATTATAATTTTAGGGTTATTTTATTTGTGTTTCACTGTCCTGCAATTAGAAGAAGTGATTAACATTGCTGGGATGTTTGGTTCGGAAGTTCTGCAATTTTTCTTTTAGGATATGTTATGTGGTCTGGTCACATGTCAAGTTTCTTATTTTCAATCTAATTCAACAAACTGAAATGAGTGATGCCCCAATGCCTGATTTCATCTGAATGTTTCTCGAATGGGTGCTGCTTGACTTTCATCCACAGGCTCTGTTTGTTGTGTTAGTACAGGGCTTTGTTAGAGTTCACATGTCAAGCAATTTATATGAGGTCAGGTTGATTACAATTGTTCAAATATATCATCACTTAAACGCAATGTACCTGTGTTATATATCATGGAATTTATTTTCCAGTCATTTTGTTTGTGTGGTTGGGCTTTGTTGGGTCCTGCATTTGCTTCTTAAAATGTAGTATGCTAGAGTTGACATGCAATTTTCAGCTGAATCTCGGTTTCTTCCTTCCCATATTGGTATACAATTTCTCCTAGTTACGGGGTTTATAATAGTGATGAAAAATCACAAACGTGTAGGTTAGATTATATAATCATATAACTACTGTTTGGTATTCAAATGACACTTTAATTTCCTTTTAACCTAGTCTCACTTTAGTATATGGACATTTCCACAACTGAACACTTGCAATCAATGATTGCATTTCCACAACTGGATGTGTATGTTTATACTCCTCTTAAGTATTATATTGTTGTGGTCCTTTTGGTGTACGAATCTGGATTTTCTTAAGTTTTTAAGAAGCTAGAGAGATTCCACCGTGAATCCAGACTTATGCTTAGTCATATTAGAAACTTTTACAAGTTGTTCCATCTTAGAATCGAATTCGGTATTCTCTTCCATGAATTCACTAGAGACCAAGCAAACCAAGCAAACGCTTTGTTTCGTATTAACTCATTTTAGAGTATATAACACAATTTCTGAATTAATCAATATTATGAACTGGTTTCATGATTTCAAAATGAATTAATACGAGTTTTTTTTTATCAATTCATTACTTGTGGTGTTATTTATGACTAAGCCATACTAGCGATTTGCCGCGAAAACTAATTGAAAAGGCTTGCAGGATTAACTGTATCAAAGCAAGAAGGCTATACAACATACTTTTTTTTTTCTCTCTAAACAAATTTTTACATAGATTTTCTCTCCTTTATTTTAAGGTTTGAAGTAATATTTTATCAAGCTTTGACATTTTTACACTTCAGTTAATCTTTAAAATACTTCCTTTTTTTCAAAACTTTTGTCCCACCACCATAATTCTTAACTCTAGGACTACTCTTTAAAAAAAATTTAATTTAATTTTGAATACTTTCATTCCACCACCATAATTTATCTTTAGGAGCACTCTTTAAAATATTATTTTCTATTTTATTTTGAAGACTTTCTTCCACCAGCATAATTTTTTATCTCTAGTCCACCACCATATTAATTCTTTATTTCTAGGACCAAAACTTCACTTTCTAAATTAATCTTCTTTATGAGAACATGTCACCTGCCTTTTTTTTATGTAATAAAATGCTAGGTTTTTTTATGTAATAAGCCCTTTAGTTTCTTTAACAATGCGTAAGCACTAATGGTATTTTCTTCCCCTAGTAAAGAAATTAAAAGAATAAAAGTGTAATTAAATCTAGAAAAAATATGTTGCTACAATTAGTGAATTAAAATGGTTGAATGAAAATGAACTGGTTGATGTTTGTTTTTGATTTAATTCATTTACTCTTTGAACCACACGACTTAAGTTTTTTTTTTTTTGAAGCAGCAATAGCAGAATTAATTAATTATGCATGCAGAAGAAAAGCCTATACAGTACAATACCAAATCAGTACAATATCAGCTGGACAAATTAACCCAACTGCAAAACAAATATAGACTTAACAGACTCAGCTCACCCAACCAAAACAGCCACAACAATATCAAAATTGAACTGGAAACTGGAACTACTGACCAAAACCTTTCAAACTCACAGCACCCAGCCACAAGCCTCCTCAGCCACCTGCGGAACCTACGGCTCCATGACAGAAACTGCTACAGGAGCAGACTGACTCGACCGAACAAAAATAAAAACCACAACTGAGGAAAGTCTCGGAAAAAGACTGGTCCAAATGCACCAAAAAACCAAAACGCGAACAGAACCTCAATGCGGCAAAACAAAACAAGCTCCAGACCAAGAGCCAGACAACACTGAAAATCTACACCAGGGGCACATCACCGGAAACAATAGCCACTCGCTACAACCTCCATGTGATCAACGAGATTCTGATGCAAAACTAAATTAGGAAGCTGACAAGCCGACCACAAAGCCAAAAAAATAACAGAATACCGACGAAACTGCCCTGCAATCTGCACAGACAGCAACGCCACAGGCTGATACGCGATAAATAATAATAGCAATTGCAAGGTCCCAAAACAAACGGTCCAAAACAAAAGGTTTCCTTAGCGGATCCCAGCAAGTTGAACTTTATGATTCTGTGCAGCCTAGGCAGGTCCTAGGATCTGCATTCCATTGAGCTATGTTCACTTGCATATTGATTAATTTTCTGCATTCTATCATTTGATTTTTTTATTGAATAGAAATGACTGATGTAGTTGATAATAGCGGAGCGCACGAATTGATGTGCATTCGAATCATAGGAGCTGGTGATCGACAGTATGATATTCGAATGGAATGAGAAATATTTGACTAGAACAAATTCGAGTACTGAATGAGAGGAGTTGATAGATATAGTAGGCCCGAGATAAACACCATTTTCAAAAGATAGAACAGATATAGATATAGTAGGTTAGAGATAAACACCATTTTCAAAAGATAGAATGCCAAATAAATTGTTTTTTATTTTCTGTTTTGTTTAACCACTTAAACAAAAAATAGAACATCAACTCGCAGTGTTTAAATATTAAATTGGCCACTTAAACGGCTAATTTGAAAACAAACAAAACATGTCTGTTACAAAACCAGTCTATTTTATGCTGCCAAGCTGTTAGTACCACCAACTCTAAAGTTTCAAGAAAACATACACTCTGTACCAACCAAAATGATTTGTTCATTCACATCATTCCCGATTTACTATCCAAAGGAAAAATAAAGAAAGAATGGAAGTTCAAGAATTATTAATTTAAACTGCCATTCTGTTGAACGTATTTTACTCTTCAAAAAGCTCCGCTAACTCAGATTCTTGCCCCATCAAATGAAATTCCATTGATAGAGTGCTTCAGCAACTTCAAGGCAAACCTGCTATTCAAACAAATCAGTTGATAGAGTTATCATTAAGCATTAATTGGTTATTTCGAAATAGATGATTGATCTATTCCCAGTCACATGAGAACAAAACAATTCCATAGAAGGCATTTAAATGACAATTCTTATTGTACATAAGGTATACAATATGTACATAGAGGCAGCAATACAATATGTACATAGAGGCAGCAATACAATATGCACATAGAATGTATACGTAAATGTGTGTCTGTAAATCTTAAACTCATAAAAAATTTTGCTTCACAATGCTACGACTACACCAAAAATTTAGAAACTCATGCAAACATGAAATTAAAAAGCAGAAGAAAGCATAAACAGTCCGCATTCCAGCTAATTTTATACAGCACTTTCAGCTAATTTTATACTATTCCTCACAAAAGTTAGTTCCTAACCATTGAACCACATTCCAGTCAGTGTTGTCGATGACAGATGGCGGTCCATTGTGGAGAGCCAAAATCCCGCCATACAGACTGCTTTGCAGCACCGTTATAGCAGATTATGGCAAAAAACCTGCAATATCAGTCAATATTTACCATAGCAGAGAGCCCAAAAACAGCCATCTATATCCGCTATAGCGGCCATGGCACTGCTATTTGTCACGAATTAGATACTATTTGGTTAAATTTCTATTACAAAAAAAGAAATGCAAATGACAGTACTCTATCCTATGTTCCAGAAAAATGAAGAGAGAAATTCCGCCCAGTTAGTTCAGAAATGGATTCATCTATCACATAGTCATATTGCAGTCCTTCAATAAGAACCACTAGATAAAGAACAAACAAATCACATTTTGAGTTCGTATTTTAAAAATGATTTACCAAGCTTAAGGTACGAACTGTTTGATTTATATATCTTACAACTTCCAACTTGTTGAATAAAGTGAATCCATGGCATTCTGTCCAGTTTGTCCCAAATGATAAATAATCATAATTTTCTTTGAAGACATTTATCCTTCAATCGCATGATATCAAGTGCCAAACATACTTTTCTTCTCACTACATTTTTTATGAGGTTAATTTAATTACTATCAACCTCATTCTTTTTCAAAGCTTGTTTAAATATCAAATAATACGGAAAACAATAACGAAACTGTTAGCACAAAATCAAATGGAAGAAATTTAGCCCAATCAACACCAAAATAGACACCACTCCCCACTGCACCACTCAACACCACAACAGCAACAATTTGACAACACTTTCTACTAATAGTGCACCGAACAACAACAATTTATTCAAATACAGCAATGCTATAACCGGCTATTTGACAGCACTAATACAAGCGAAGATACACAATGAAAGCATTCAACAGGAGCAAAATCAGCACTGACCTGTGACGAACCGATCATCTACCAATCTATCTAATCTTCTCCTTCCCACTGATCCTATTAGCAGCTTCCCTAATCTTCTCAATATACCCCTCAATAGGCGGAGTAAGAGTGGCCATAAACCGATTAGCCGGAAAAGGAGACAAATCCGGCACCAAAGCAGCTTCTTTCAGCTTCTCCGGCAAAGCTTCAATAGCTTCCTTTTTCAACCCCAAAAACTTCGTTTCCGCAGCTTGTCTCGCTCTATGCTTCCTCATCAAAACCCTACTATACTCCTTCGCCAATCTCTTCCCATCTTCAGCAGTCAATTCATACTTAGGCAATTTCTCAGCATCAACCAAACCCAATGTTATATAATCCAAACCCGGTGTTCCGATAATCGACGGCTTCTCTGAAACCCTAAATTTCTGATTCTTCTTCTTCGTCATGTCGATTTCTCGCTGGCGGTCTTTGCTTATTAACCCTAATTTCTCGCGTTCCTCTTCTCGTTCGCGTTGTTTGGGTTTCAGGTGGCGGAGTGGTGTTGGTGCGTCGATGCATTGGTTGTAGAGACGCTCCTTTTCTTGCTTCTCGCGTGAACCGGTGGGGATTCCGGGTTTGGGTTCGGATCCGGTTTTTTTGACGGTGACTTTTGAGCGTTTGAGGATTTGGCCGGCTTTGCCTTTTCCTTTGGCGGTGCGGCTGACGGAACAGCGTTGGAGGAGTTGGTAAGGAGAAGATGGATTTGTTGAGTTGAAGAGTGGTTTTAGGTTTGAGAGACGAAGCATGGTTTTGGTGATTGAAACGGTGTTGTTTTGATACTGGGATGAAGGTTTGAGAATTGCGATGGTGCTGGTTGCGGAGGTTTTGCGAACCGGAGAAGAAGGTAGGGCAAGAGGAGATTGATGATGAGAAATGGGCCGGGCCACGAATTTTGCATTTGAGTACTCCTTTAAAGCCCAACAAGGATATAACAACTATATAGTTCTAATATATGAGGATTTCTTAAGAAACCCCCCCGGTTGAAAAAGAGCTTATACAATTTCGAAAATGCCCTCTGATTTTCGAAAATATATTTTCAGTTCGCACTTCACACGTATGTTTTTGAGTTACGCTCTAATTTACAACTAAATTTTTTTTGGAAATGCATTTTTGAAAGTTTTCGGAAATACATTTTCAATTTCTAACCATTTGAAGGATACAAAAAAATTAAGAGAAATTCTCAACACTACTAAGTCTAATGAGTTTCGACGTCTTTAGCCTCTATGCGACATAACATAAAAAATTCATTTTTTGAAAAATCGATTATGAATTAAAATTTTACAATGTCAATTCATCCGGAAAAAATTAGGGATCAAAATCTCATATTTTGGACAAAACAGGGGAACCCACCCTAAAAACCCTATATTCTTTGTTTTTCTAATTTATTTGATTTATTTTTTGTTTTCATATTTTCGAAAAAATCCGAAAAAATTTGTAGACCCTTAATTTAATTTTATTTGATTGTTCATTGTATTTTTAAATTTTTATAACATAGTAAAATTCAGATATGTATATCCGTGTAGCGGTAGAAATGTTTGAGACTAAGCCATTGGATTTACTTAACTCGTACAGATCAAATAAAAATCATCATCACGCTTTATTGTTTCCAGAGGAATGAGAAAAGAGTGAATAACCTAAAAAATAGGGGGGGGGGGGGGAGAATCTAGGTACGAGGGTTGATTATGCAAAGGGAAGGTATTAGCACCATAAACATCTACGATACTTCGCAGGAACTTCTTTAAAAATTTGTGTATTTTGACTATAACTATTGTATATAAAAATAAATAGGGGAGGTGAGAAGAGAAATATATATTTTTTTAAATAATTTTTGCACCCGTCGTAGTTGCGAGTCTTTAGTGCCTATGTACCACTTTTCGTGCAATAGGAGATCAGGGTACTCGTAGTTTATCTTTAAAAAATTTTAAATAAAAGTGTGTTGGTTAATTTTAAGAGACGAGACATTATCGTCATATCTGAGTGGAAAACATATTTACTATCCACAATTATGAGAAAGGAAAATTTGCATCATCTCAAAGTGGAGGATATAACTTGGATTTTGAAATCAACAAAGCCTCACTCGACGCCCAAGTGGAAAATATCTCACTTCACTATATATCATAGAAGTATAGTAGCTCACATCACTTCAAGGATTGACAAGAGTATGATATTTTGAAAAAAAATAAAATGAAAAGTCAAAGTGGCAAAATGGTTTAAATGAGATTGATTGAATTTTAGTCTTCTCACAAAAATATCAAAGTATGATTAAGTTGGTTAAAGTTTGATTAAGAAAATATTTAAAAAAAACATGAATTTAAGTCCAAGTTTATTATGAAAACGATTCAAGTTAGAAAACAAGAAGAGTTTTGAAAAGGAGGGAGAAGGTTTTTGAAATTAAAGAAGATGGGGGTAGATGAAGGGACTATCCTAAAGCATAAGGTAAAAGCTAGGGAAATGAACTGTCTAACCAATAAGAAGTCAATACTTGACATAAAGAGTCAATTTAGAATTCTCATCATTTGGATTGAAACCAAGCAAACAAAGATATTAAACCTCTTAAGAATACCAAACTTCAATGCATTAAGTCTTCACAAAAATTGGTCAGAGTAACAACTGTATACAAAGAAATTCCCCATCACAGACAAAATATATAATCAGAATAACCTGCATACAAAAAAAATCAACCCAATATCTTGGGGTAAACCCCAAGAACTCTAGACAAAATAACAATAAGAGTCACATGGTTTCAAAGGCATCAAAGGCTTCTAATCATAAGTCTGAGAAATTCAACACTTCATTATGCCAGGGATAATAAACAAATAGTCCATGTAATATTAAGGCTTTTTATTGTTCAAGTTGATTATTAAGTGTCTTCAAAAAGAAAATGAAAAAGCTCAAGTGAGAAAAACAAAATGACATAAAGTTGATGGAGCTGAGGCACATGGATGAGGCTTCAAAACATCTTCTCGCTGCCTGGATGTCCCCGTGGAGGGTGGCGACCAAATCCTCGACAGTGTAGTACTTTATTTTGAGGTGTACGGTGGAGAGTATCACGATTAGTTCGACGAGAGTGGGTCTCCCGAAGATGCATTGGTAGAGAGACGGATAATCCACTAACAAAAATTGGGTCTTAATAGCTCTGGCTGCCACTCCTCTCTCGAAGGTGACGATTATCTCGACATATCCCATGGGTTTTGTACTGGCCCCGTTGAAGCCCTAGAGATCCGATCGTACATACAGGGTCAGATGGCTTTCATTCAGCTGTAGAGTAGTGAACAATTGGGTGAACATGATGTCTATCGAACTACCTTGATCGACCAGGATGCGTCGCACGTCGGAATTTTCCATGCGAGCCCTTATGAGCAGTGGGATTGTCGAGTTAGGGGCCTGCCCGGTAGTTCCTCCCTGTAGAAGGCGAGGGGATGAGATCCTCCTCAGAACTTGTCCAGTGTGGTATCCATGTCAGAGTTGGATTTGATGAGTTAGTCGAATCTTCATTTTACGGACCCCACCATATGCCTGTTGAATCCCCCGCTGGAGATGACTATAGCCGCAGGGAACGACTCCCAAGGATTGTGAGAGGAGAAATACAATAGGACGCTTCCCATGTCCAGGAAATATAAATTTTTTGGCCGCGAGATTCTCATGGCGACCAATATGGTGTTGATGTCGGGGGACTCCTTCCCCTCTTTGATGTTTTTAGTTTCTGGAGCCTCTTCACAGGCGCCCTCTTTCTTCTTGTATTGCTTGAGGTGCCCGTCTTGAATCAATATCTTGATTGCATCCTTGAGATGGATGTAATCCTCAGTGTTGTGCCCATGGCTTTTATGGAACCTGCAATATTTTCTCTTGTCGGTTCCTAGTTTAGAAGGCGTCTTTCGGGGAAAGCGTATCCTGACATGTTTGAATTCAGAATTGGCGCATTCAGGTAGAATATGCTCCCTCGAAGTAGTCAGATGGGTGTAGTTGTGAAACTGAATAGCAGGCCCCTTGTATTCCTCAGAGTCTCAGGATTTGTCTTCTCGTTTCTTCTCTCTCCGACAGGATGTCGAGGCTCGTCGCTTCTTGAGGACTTGGCACTTTCTCGGTGCCTCGACTCCCTGGAGCTATTGGTGGCTTCCTTATCCTCGTATTGTATGTATGCTTGAGTCTTGAGGAGGAGGGAGTCAAGTGTCGCCGGTGATTCGATGTGTATTGCTTTAGTAAAGTCACTGCAGGGATGGAGCCCGTGCTCAAGAAGGTATTTCTTTATGTTATCGGTCGTAGAGACCTGTACTGCTTCCTTGTTGAAGCGCTCAATTTATGCCCGCAGAGACTCATATCCGCCTTAAATGATTGCTTCGAGCGAAACCTCTGACTTTGGGTGTCGACAGGAGGCGGTGAAGTGCCTCGAGAACATCCTCCCAAGTTGCTTCCAGGAGGTAATAGATTCATCTGGGAGGCTCTTGTATCAAGACATTGCTCCTTTCCTGAGAGTGGTTGGGAACAATCTGCATTTGATGGCGCCTCTGACCCCCGAATAGTCGAGGAGGGAGTCGATGTTCTCTATGTGTTCGTCAGGATCAGTCGTACCATTGTATGTTCCCAGTGGGGCGGCTTCTTCAGACCGACTGGGAGCCGGGCCTTTGTAATTTCTCTTGATAGAGGCCTGCGGAGCTTGTCATTGTCGCTTTCTATGGGAGATGGAGAAGGGGAGTGATAATTCCTTCCCCGTTGGGCGTCGTGGTCTCGTTGAGGGGAAGAACTCCTCCGTTGTTGTCTTGACTTGGACGATGGTGATTGACAACAGTCAGCTTGGCGGTCTCCCCTCTTCTTCTTGGACGACAGAGAGTCTCAGTCTTTCGTGGGAAGTGTACGACTACATTTCTTGATGAAAGAAACGTCTCACCTCTCCTTTCTTGATGGAAGGCCATGCCTAGGTGGAGATATGCTGATGGAATCTCGTCGTCGGGGTCTCCGAGGAGGAGATTTTGACTGCTTCTTCTCCCAGGCCCTATCTTTTTATTCTGTTGCAGGATAAGGGCGTTGGTATGGTCGATGGCAGCAAGCAATGTTACGATGGCTGGATTGACATTGTGAGGAATGGGAACTGGTTGCATGATCTCTGACAGTTCCTCGGTGGGGATCTTGGGAAGCTGCTTGTCCAAGAATTGATGATCGTCGCGCTGGGCGTCGGTGGAATCTGGGGATGCAGTCCGACTATTGCGGAAGTCGAGGTTATCCTATAGGTGAGGATGTTCTTGACTTCTGTCAGTCTTGTGCACTAGTGAAAGTGCAGTCTTTTCAGACGGGTGGTGATCATCACGGTCAGTCATGATTGTTGAATGAAGAGGATCTTTGGTTTTCAAATTTCGAGGAATAGAAAACGGGGAAAATAGTTTCCCACAGGCGGTGCCACTGATCTTACCGGTTGATCAGAACCTATAAGGTGGCTGAATGATGATCTTCTGTTGGGCTGGATTGTCGAGGATGAAAAGGGGGTTGTACCTGCAAGGCACTCCGACGATCAAGTAAGCGTGGTAGCAAAAAGATACAAGCAAAGTTTAGTGGTGAATAGTGAATATTTGATACCTGGCTCTCACATGTGTGAGGGTTTATATAATGCCCCTGGCGCATGGCCATTGGTCCCTATTTTTGGGCCTAGATATGCGGATCCGTGAAAATAGGTAACTGTCAGGACTTGATCATACCGGGCAGGTGTGCCCGTAACTAGTCGTTGGTCCCGAGAAGGAGGTAGGTTATGGGCAGC